AGTAACGTTGCGTAGAGACAAAAGTGGACGAAAGAGAGGCAAACTTGCGGCTCCACAACTATAATTATAACGTAACATAGACTATATCGATATAAAGGATATTGTCACATCTTATATCTCGTATAAAAATATATCGATATGTTTTAAAAACTCGATATATCGCCCAGCTCTAATCAAATCCGATTTTTTTTGTCTGCTATTCACACTACAAATAAAATGTGACAGCAAACGCGCTCTAGTGTGAACACTCAAAGCGGCCTACATGCGCAAAAGAAGACGTCACACACAACACGCTCTGTTTAGCCCCAGACCAAACAGTGTTGTTCGACTGATGGCCCTTAATATAAACACTTGTTTCAGACTTTACGTTTCCCAGTTTTGCTTTAAGTTATAAAGTTATTTTGTTATTTACATATGGCCTGATAATTATCCTTATTGCTGTTTTAGTGAGGAGCGGTGCTTCAAAGTATAGTTGTTTGTCAGAATCTGCAGATTATACAGTACAAATAAAATGTTCACGTTTCTCCAACGTTGTCTTCCCAGCAGTTTCACTGGATGGCCAGGAAACGTTCACGATGTCTTCTCGGGCACTGATAATTGGTGTCCGTCTTGTGTCAGTGACGGAAAAGACGGATTTAATGCGACATGACCATTCAAACAGCAGTCGCTTTCTAAAACATCAGATATGTATTGGATTCAGTACCACATACAAAAGTGACCCAGATCGGATTTGAAAATATCGGATTTGTGCTGTTAACACTGTCACACCATGATCGGATATGGGTCGCATAGGGTCAAAAAAGTCAGATTTGATGCGCTTTCGCCTGCAGTGTGAACATAGCCTAAGTGGGTCATGAGGTACACTGGGTTATCAGTGTACTGCAGGGCTGAGGGTTCGTGGTCAACCTCATGCAATAAAGTCATCAATTTAAAAAGGTACTTTGCTGGGATACCCACCTGGCTGAAGGTTGGTTTGTTGTGCAATCTCGAACAGCGGTCTCCATGTCTGCAAGCTCCAATTTTAAAGTAGAAGGAACAATTGACCCTGAAAAAAGAAGAAAAATCATTATCACACATATTTAGAATCTGACCTTGGGTGTTGCTAAGGTGTACGAATGTTGACATTAACAGAACTAATGAAAAAGCAGAATGCAACTACCCTGTTTGTTCTGAACCATCAGTGATGGGTCTTAAACCGTTTATAGACAAAACCTAATACGGAGCGTAGAGATATAACCTTTATAAGCAATAGACAATAACTGTTTTATTACAGATGCAACATACAATAACAGTACCTGCACTACAGTAACACAACCACACCCATAACACTGCACAGAAACAGCACAATGCTGCACACTCCGACTGGTAAGATAACGAATGAAATGACTGTGATAAATACAAAGGTTTGGTTGAAGGTTTGTTAACATCTGAGGCTGGTTTTAAAGACCATAAAGCCAACAAAGTTAGAAAATGAGACTAACTACGCTTCACAACCCGATAACTTGTTGTAGATGCTCTAGTCCTGCAGGTGCTGTCGCTGCCAGACAAGGCCTGACGTCTGGCTAAGTCCACAAAACACAGACGCTTCCTTGCAAAACAGAAAGACCAGATTTACATAGCCTGTCTAAAATGGGAGGGAGGGGTGCATTACAGAATGAAATCCAAAAGTATCAGGGCCATGGCCGTCAGGTCCTTGGGAGTCATAGTTATACAAGAAGTTGGAACTTCATCCACTCCCAGAGGAAGTCAGGGCAAAACCCAGTCAGGAAACGAAAGTCTGTGTCTGCTTCATTTAGGACATATGAAATGTCAGAGTACTGCAGACACCAGGTGCAGAGGTGTTATGCGTTTTACATTTAATACATACTCGAAAAGATGTGGGAAGAAAAAAAAGGTACCAAAAAACTTCCAAAACATATATTTTGCATTTCTTTTAACTATTAAAAGCATTTTAATCAACTCATAGCTCTCTGTGAAATTGGTTGATTGTATACAAATGATAATCTTAATATAATGATGCAATATGGACTAAACTTACTATATAAACTGCTTAGGTTACCAGGGTTATCAACAACTATAATGAATTTGGGAATTATACTTTATGACCCATAAATCTTTTGAAATGATATATATATTATGTGTAGCAGCTTATGTCAAAACCAGCATCTACAATATGTGTACATTGTTGTTTGTAAATACAGTTTTCTAAACAATTTTCAGTTGTTTTTTTTTAATTATTTGGGACAAGTCACGCATTCCTGTAAATAAGAGATCATCAAACAGCAACACTAATAGTACCTGTAACGGATTACTTTGTCTTATACAATGAAAGTGTAAGAAGAACAATAAATACATGTTACTGATTTGTTTGGTGTATAGGAACAACTTTTTTTCACCATCATTACCACCAAGTCACGTCTTTTTCATATAAGACTGAAGCAATGAAGCACTGCGGGGCTCACTACTAGTACTGAAAGACATCAGTCGCATAGTAGACCGTGTGAACATTACAGCTACGGCTGGCCTACTTACTGATCTTTCATTAACGCGATACTTGATCAAAGTTTGTCCGGGAATTAAATTACATTGATTCTAGCCTCTTAATACGCACAGTACAAATGGATGTACGTTTCTGGCTCTGCTTGGGTATCTCAACCACTGTTGTGTTTTTAGTCGTCTAGACCTCACCCGTACGAAACCAAAGATCCTACTTGTGGAAATCATCACATCAGTACATAAACGTATAGCTAACTTAAAGCTACTTTTAAGACTTCAGCAGGCACAGAGTAGAAGATGCTTTCTGCTGCACTCCACCGGTGGGGCGGAACAATACAAGCCAGACAGGTACTCTGCTAATCAGCTTCTTAACTGAGCGGGCCACGCGTTAGCGGTTTCTTCTTCTTTTTGAAATTTTTTTTAACATACACTTAACATACACTCCAGTTGTGCACGCACAAACTGGAAACATTTAAAACAACTGAATGTTTTGGCGCAAACTAACAGCACGCAAAGGCTGCAAGTTAGCCAGGGCATGAGTTTCATTCAAAGCGTTAGCTTAACGTTAGCTTCCTCCTGCTAAGGTTAGCTTGACTGGGACATGCAGCTGAGCTGTGGGTACAAAATAAGCCCCAAAACCGGCAAAATAGAACCACTGCAAGCACACTTTACATAAAAGCGATATCTTATACGAATTTAAGAACGAATAATATTTAAAACTGACTGAAAACTGTTTAAAACTTACTTGTCTTTCTCTGTACCGAAAATGGATGCCAGGTACTCCGCCATTTTCGGGTCGTCGGAAACGTCCTCGTTACGTCATTACGTAAAGAGTGGGCGCTTGCGTATGGTTTTCATCCTGTACTTAGCCGTACCGCCGGCTGACAGCGCTGTTGTTTCAGAAATTAGTTCCCTCCTCGGGTGAACAGCGCTGTGCCATTTTTTTTATTTTCTCGAATAGCATGAAAATTCCCCTTTGATTAAGTAGTTTTACGTTATTCCCCACCAAAATGAGGACTAGTTTCCAGATATAGAATTGGAAAAAATTAAGCAAATTTATTTCCAGTTGGGACGCATCATTACAAAGTAGGCTATTAGAATTATACTTTTACTTATAAAACAGCCAGATTATTTTTTTTAAGTGGATAGCTACTTTTCCACATGCTGGTGGTCAAAGCTGAGAGATATGGGCAAAAGAAAAAAAGCTCAGTGTACTTTTAAGTATAGGTGAAGCTCCCAACCACAGTATATTTCTATTCAAAAGATAAAAAAGCAACCCTGACATCTTTGGGGTGATTTATATCTTCAGAAACCTCCCGGAGGACTCTATTAAAACCCAACTGAAGGTGATTGACTGACAGATAAGGGGTCCACGGGTTGATGGTCTTACCAAAACAGCAACCACACACACATGTCAACAGAGTGGGCATTAAAGCCTAACAGGCCACAAAGTCCCCATCTCCTCTTCAGAGCAATGTACACCCTCCGCTCAAACCACAGTGCTCTGCACAAGGTCGCACAAGTTTGCAGGAGAGGCAGACGGCAACTTAAAAGGAAAGGAGAGGGGAAAGGAAGTCAGCTTAAAGAAGGTAAACCACACACTCTACCCAGAAGTGATGATGAAGGTGCACAGGTTCACAGAGCGAAACAAGACTCTGAAATGAAAAGTGTGCGCGAGAGAGGGCTCATGTGGGAACCCCCTGTTTTTGAGATATTTCACTGAATTTGACTTGCAAGATTTGCAGAAGCAAGACCACCCACTGGTGTACACACCCCAGCTTCAATCACACAGAGGGTGGGAGAGAGACAGAGATAAGGGGAAAGGAGTGAGCAGAAAGAGGAAGGATAAAGTTTCATATCAGTGTTTCTCTTTTGGGTTTATCACATAATAATGCGCTTGGAGGAACATTACTGCCTTGGGCTGGCTGTTACTGGACAATGACGGGAGCTTTTCTCAGCATCATGAGGGCTAATCGATGCTGGACCATCCTCCATGTGTCCATCTTGGTTGGGCTGCTCCTCACCTTAAATGCTCAGAGTAAGTTGATGTTTTTGTACAGATCGTGTTGTGCCGTTTCAGTATTTGTGGAATATTTGCTTTCTTCTCTTCTCAGGCAGTCAGGCTGAGAAGTAAAGTGTTTGCGATCGTACTGGAAATGATCTGATAAAAGCTGTTGGCCTGATATTTTTAAAGGTTGTGACCCGGAAAGTGCCACATCCACATATGATGTAACTTTTGAGTGAAAAGTGGCTGCCAGTTGTGCAGCTTTAAAAAAAGATCAGAGGCAGAATTCAGTTAGATCTCAAAATCTCAAACTCAAACTATCAGTGGTATCAGATATCGAAGGCAGATTCTGCCATAAATGGCACAGCCTGCCTTTAAACATCTGCAGAGCTTTCTGTTTCAGATGCTAAAACTTTTGCTTCTGTTCTCCCAGAGCAGCAGGGTTTCTTACGTGTGGGAGCTTGATGGAAACAATTTGCACAAGAGGAAAAGATCAAAAATATTAAAAAGAAATTCTCAGAGCTCAATTAATCGCCTACTTTATGTTCCTTGTGCTTTTTTATGTGTGTGATGGTTTGGATCAGGGGAGATACTAGCTCCATGTAATTTCCTGTTTTTAATTTCACATGGGAAACGTAAGATGCACGTGACTTTATTCACAGCCAGTATAGTGACATACGCAAATGAGCGCACTCCTTTAATATAACTAAAATATTAAAAGTGAAGTGTCAGGTATTTAATCTTGTGTGTGCCGTCATTAAAAAGAAACACAGTTGAAAATTAGGAAGCAAAAAGTATAACATCAGTAAATCAGACATAATAGAGCTGCTGTAATTTTTAGTTATGAATAAGGTTAAAAAGACTGTGTGGACTGGGAGAGGCTGTGTTTGTGGGTCTGTGTCAAAAGGAATTGACCACACAAGTAAGAAATGAAACTAGAGAGGACACAAGATGTACAGCAGTGGTTTTAATGGAGTAGGAAGAGCAATGTTGTTCAAAACCAAAGGTCAACAATGGTCTACACAAACAGAAAGACACACAACAAAAAGACTGGAGTGGGCGAGACATGAAGTGACAAATGAACACAAAATAGCTTCGCCCAACGCTGATAAAAAGAATGCTGATGAATGGCTTCAAAATCTTTAGTTAAATGAAATCAAAATATTTCTGTGGCTCAGATTAAATCTGTTGTGTTTTATGTGGATCTGGTCAGGCCCGCTACAGACACCGCACAGTGTGAGGCGTCAGAATGGGCATATATCAGGCTTCGTAAGAATAAAGGGTGTGGTGTAGATAATTAAATACATTTGTTTACGTGGCAGTATTTCTTACAAAAATACTAAGAGTCTCCTGTTCACAAGAATATTGCTCAGAGAGGGATTTTCCCTCATGACAATGATCACAAACATACTGTAGTAAATACACAAGAGGAGAAACAATGATAACACAGACATGGTCACCTGTTGCGATGATGCAATACTCGTCTGGGCCCAATGAAGCCCCACATCCCTGTAAAATTTCTGTTTCAAAAAATGTTTAAAAAGTATCAATGGTCTTAATCACATATTTAAAAAAATTGACAATCTAAATATCCCCTCACAGTAATGCTTATTAAAACACCTTTTTCTACAGATTACTTGCTATAGTCACTCTGGTCTAATACAAGGTGTCTTTAAATGTGGTCTAAAGGTGATACAGTTGTCAGTGCTAATATTAATAGTAATCATGAAGGTGGGACCTAAATATTTGTCTGCCATAATGCTGGACTCTGCCTAAACACACGCCTGCTAAAAGATTTTTTTATGGTGAATGTTAAACGACAGAAACACTGTGGGACAGCAGCAGATAAAAGTAATATTTTTTATAAATTGCAATTACAGGTTTATATGGACTTCACTTAAAGCATAACTATTATTATCAAATTCTTGTCTCGGCAAAAATGTCTAATAATTAATTCAAAACAATTCACAGGCATTCTTAAACTGCTCTGAAGCTTCTGGGTTCAAATTCTCCCTCTTAACATAATATTCTTTGGTAAAACTTGAAAAGCAAAATCATCTCTTAAAGGTTTTCTACAGGACAGTTATGATAGGTGCTGTCCTGAAAACACAGAAGTTTAAACTTCCAGTTTTTCTGTCATATGATAAACAGCTCCGGGACACATGCTGGTGGATCTTGTAGTGAGACTGTGAGCTCAGTATTTAAGAGCAGTGGAATATCTGACAGTAAAAGGTAGACATGAAATTAATACACGTGGCTTTAGGTTTCCCTTTGTGTTAGGACGGGTTCACTCACAGTTTGCTGAACTGCTGGAGTTCATGCAAATTACTTTTCCACTCATTATCAAATAAATGTCACTGAGTGATTTTTCTTTTTAATCTTTTTTTTTCATTCTTACTGTTTGTCATACCTCATGTTTACTTCTTTGATCTTATTGTTGCAATATGATGGATATGTTTATATATTTATTAGTCTTCAATTAAACAGTCTTTATATACATGTATTGTCTAAACACCTTTATATTGTATATTGTTTATATTGTATTGTCTAAACACAATATATTACACAAGAGACTGATGTCTCTTGTGTAATATATTGCTTTATGTTCTCAATTAAATTAAAATTAACATCAAACGTTTCTTAATTTCTAATTGTTCTTCTTTATGTGTTTGGTATAATTTCTCTTCTGCAGGTGACTCTGACTGTTCTACAGAAATTAGAGTACGTCGCAACACAGTTTATAATGCATCAGCTGGACAACAACTTTGGATTAATTGCCCAGTATTTTTTTGCAATGATTCACCACCAACAGTCACCTGGTATAAAGTTGAGGAAGCTAATGTCCCCATCAATGTCAGCGGAGACAGTCACATTAAAACAGAGTGGAAACCTTTAAACAAGTCAGCAGGGATCTTCTATTTGATGTTCCAGAACATTCTCAGACATGACTCTGGTCAGTATCAGTGTCAAAGTGGAGGGAATATGGGTCATGCCATCACTGTCAATGTCTATGGTGAGTGTGGATTTTTCACTAATTATACGAAACCTTCACTCACACTGAACAGTGGACTTTTTCTGAATCTCATGATATTTTTCTGTTGTTCAGACCTCAGACAGCTTCTCTGTTTTGTTTTTTTTTACAGATCATGCTGAAATTACCACTATTACACAGAATAATGTCAGAGGTAAGAAAGGTTTTATATAATGTGTGTTGTTGTAGCTTTATTAAATCCAAACTGACTGAAACCTGTTTTTCTTGCAGTCAGCACGACTTCTGCTCCTGAAAATACAGAAACCTTGTTGCTGTACGTGTACTCTGCTGCTGGGATCGCCACATTCGTCATCATAGTCATAATCATATCTGTCATATCAATGCGAGGCTGTAAAGGTGAGCTGTTCTCTCTCCTCTTCAAAATAAAACATCACCAGACATACTGAATACTAAACATGTAAACTGTCCATCCTGCAGGGAAGCCAAAGAAAGACAGTCAAGCTGAAAATCAGGTAAGATATAAAATATTTCAAGCTTATCACATTTTTTCCATCAATAATTTTAACTCGAACATTTTTGGATGTTTCCAGTACATGCAGATCCCCATGGTGGAGCGACCTCTTCCTCAACCCAGCTTGGAGCCCTCACAGAGAGGAAGCCCCTCTGCTGCGCCATCTCGGAGATATACCAAGAGGAAAACTCCACCAAGGCAGCCCAATGAGTTTAGATTATCAAGAGATAATGAGCAGGCTTATGGGCCGAGTAATGTGGGCAGAGAGAGACAGAGGAACACCGTGGAGGAGGAGAGCGGCTCTGTTGTGTATGCTGCTCTTAACCACGAGCTGCCTCAGCGGGTTAATCGGCCACGGATGGAGGTGGAAGAGACCTCAGAGTACGCAGCCATCCGTTTGGCATAAAGACCAAGAACTGCTTGACTAAATCACACTAGAGGACAACTGATGAATATCTGAAGCTGGTGTAACTCCACCAGAGGAGACCTGAAGGACAGTTAGAAGGGAATGCAGAGACTCGAAGTAAAGAGTGTGGATACCAAAAACACAACTCATCACTTCTGTAAAAACTGCTCTTTGATCTTTGAGTTATACCGCACAGACCATCATACCTTGTTTACCTGAGATCCTGAAGACTTGTTAATAATTTAAATAGCAGAATCAGCACCCTCACATTTTGGTCAATATTTAAAAGCCTACAAGCTTTCATAAGTGTTTTTACTCTCGCTGATTATGCCTCTGCTCAGTTTGGGATTTAGCAGAGTTATGCTGAGATTCTTCACCAGATGTCATGCCACTAACAATGGGTACACTAACAAGAGCTGTGTTAGAGCATGTTTGATATATATGGGCACAATGTCTCAGCACAGACAATACCACCCAGTGTACCTAACAAATTACACCTACAACGTCAATCAACCATAAAATACAACCTGTGCCAAGCAAACTGCAAAGAGTATGGTCTGAGCACACACATCATATTGTGTTTAGATTTAAAGCTGTTAGGGATTCTAACACCAAAGCTGTTGCCTCAAATGGTGCTTAATAGAAGCATTTTGTGTCATGTGGCATCATAAGCAGTCATCTCCAGGGCTGAAAAATGACAGAGGTGCCAAAAACTGCAGTTCCTCAAATGTCCACTTGAGGTTGACTACAAAAGTCAATCCTTGTAGTTAAAATATTTACACCAGGAATAACATAGCAGCATGTCAAAAAGTAAAGGCTTGAAAATAATACCAAACTAGCTGGTAATATAACAGCAGTCAGCATTACTTATTTCTGTATGTTACTCCTGTGCAGAGATGGGCAGTAACGTGTTACTTGTTACTTGTAACGCGTTACTGTAATTCGATTACTTTTTCAGGTACTTTTTTGCAATAGTAATCCCTTACTTTACATAAGGGATTACTATTGCAAAAACGGTAATTAGATCACCGTTACTTTCCCGTAGGAACGCTGCGTTACTGCGTTACTAAAACCGTGATTTTTTTGCGAGAATGTCTCATGACAGTGACGTAAGCGAGTGCAACATTCGTGAAAACAGCTGTGTGCAGATCAACAATGGATAATATATTGAGTGCAGGAGAGAGTATGAGCGTGCAGCATTTAAACCTTGGAAGTACTGACCTTATTTTGAGTTTGATTCCATAAAAAGTGACAAAAACATTAGTGTCTGTTCTGCATGGGAACAAAACTTCTTTTTACAGCGAAAAAAAACACCCCTAAACTTCCAAGCAAGCACCAAGTGCGCAACGACGTAATGGGAAACTCACAGGGAAACTCGCAGATTCTTCAACTGACCGCCTGCGGCACACCTGGACCAGGGCAAACCTCCGCCTACGCCACTCCTGCTATACAGGTGAAAATATAGCAACAGGACCGCTAGACTTTGATTTTATTTATTTTCTGCTGTGTTTTACTTGCATCTACAGTATTTGAAAGAGTGAGTGTAAACAAAATAAAGATATTTTATTTTATGTGCTGGAATGTGCAGAAAATAGGTTTAAATGTTAAACAAATTTCTTCCAGTCAGAGAATGTTGCATATAATTAAATTTTTGCTTGATGCATAAAGTTAAAAGGTTAAAACTAATAAATCAAGTTTTTAAAAAGAGTCTTTTCAATTTGATTACATTTTGTATGATTGATTATGCAGAAAAAGTAGAATTGGACTGAAAGATCTATTGCTTTCCATACTTTATCACCTATTCAGGTTGTAAATCGTGTTTTTTAAAAGTAACTAAGTAACTAAGTAATTTTGAAAATAAGTAATTAGTTACTGATTACATTTTTCAAGTAACTTGACCAACACTGCTCCTGTGTGCTGCAGCTCCAGTGCTGTGTCAAAATGATGTAAAACAACAGCACTGTTCCTGTTAGCATGTCAGTTCATTAGCAGGAATGTGCACATTGTAGTGAATTTTAGTTCAATTCTATATACACGATCATCCTGCCATTATTCCTCATTAGTTTACCAAATATTTATTAACATGCTACTAAAATTAGGTTCTCACTGTTTTTGTGTTACAGTAAAAATTGTTGAAAATATATCTGCTCTGGGATATTAATGCATCATTTTAAAATACTAAAAATGTAGATTTGTGACCAGATCTGTAAAGATGTACAACTTCTGCAGGGATGTGGGTTAAGAGCCATATACAGGTATAGCAAACTCAGGGAGAGAGAGATGATCATTGTTCTGAGGATTATTGTCACTGTATTTGTGTGCATGACACATGAGTAAACTGTCCTCTAAGACAGAGGTGTCACAGAAGCTGTAGTCAGGTTAAGTCGTAGTACAAAACAAATTTTTGGAGATTTTTATGATTGTGTGTATTGATTTGAATGTTTGTTTGTTTTTTGTCATGCACTCACTGTGATGTTCTTCTGTTGCACATCCATGACTTGAATTAACTCTTGAGAAACTTACCTATGATAACAGTAATGGTTATCTGTCTGTATCATATCAGCTATCCACTGACTTTCTGACTACATGAATGACTAATGAGCTATTGTACTTATTGTGATTCTTTTGGGAATAGAAATGTAATATTAATCATTTTGTGCAAGTAAAAACTATAATATTTTCTCCATATCTGTTAGATTTTAAAAAAGATTATAATGATTCATTCTCATCCTGTTTTTCCTGTAAAGAAATGAATTTAAAAAAATCTACGCTTTTATTTTAATCTGATTAATACCCAAAGTTTCAAGTGGTATATATATACTGAGTGTTTCTGCCTTCAAACCATAAACTCTGGTACTCTGGTAACTCTGGTATGCATCCGAAGACACTCCTAATCAGAAGCAGGAAGTAAAGTCAACCACATATCATGCACTGTCACATACAGAGCACATACAGTTTTTACACAAGTTCACAGCTGGTTCCTTAAATGTCTGCCATGAAACATTACTTGTGCAGGACCATCCTTTATTCGCTGATCTTCACAGTCCTCATCCTCACTTCAGATGCTGAGATTAAGTGATTCTTATTAATTTTAAATGCTCCATTTCAGTCTGAACACGTCTTTGTTTCTCTGTTCGCGGCTGAGTTTAAATATTTTTGCTGTTACAGTTCAAACATTGTGGAAATCAGCTGTAAAAGGTTTAAAATATCCTTTACCTTTTGCTATACACAATAATCCAAAGCAGGCAACTAATATTTTTTCATAGTAATTTACAGGTTATGCTGAAAGGCTTGACCGCGCAGCCTTCAAACCTTCCGCCTTCAAAGAAAGCCCAACATGAAGGACAAAACAAGACGCAGTGAAATGGTCTTTGATGCTATGCTGGAGATTTTAGTTAAGTTCATACATGTGGACGATCTTTAGAGGTTTTCTGGATATGTTAGTATTACTAAAACAATACCATCCACTTACTATGCTAATCTTGAATCAATATAATTTTTTTTCTATAACTTTTCTGTCATTACAGAATCTCACAAAATGTCACAGTGTAGCTGTTTCACCTCATATTTAGCTTCTTTTTTGAACATTGTGATCCAATCATAAAGACACCCAGCCTCTAATATTTAAAAATTTGAACACTAGTTAAGATTACTTTAGTAATTTTGGTAAATGGAGTGCACAGTCATTTCTAATCTGTAGCTAACAACATTAAAGGAAAACTGAAAATTCATCAGATCTCAATGGGAAATATGTGGACTGGGTAACGTGTTAGGAATGAAAGGATGCCACATTGTGTAATGAAGATGACGATTATCGACCTACAAAGGCCGAATTCAAAGACAGATTGAAAATCCAATTAAAAAACCATTTGCTTCAGACCTAGTCCATTTTAGCAAACTGTCACTGCAGCAACTCAAAATGGTACTCAGCAGTTTGTGTGACCCCCACGTGCTTGTATGCATACCGGACAGTGCTGAGGGTGAAGCTGCTCTCATCTGTCAAAAACACAGGTCACCAGTGGTGGACCGGCTTATACTCATATTCTCACAGAAAAAAATCTCACAGCTATTTTTTAAACTCCTCTGAAGCTTCTGATTTTATGTTCTGCCTCTCAAATGGAACAAAGTGAAAAGCAAAATCATCTCTTAAAGGTTTTCTACAGTTATGATAGGTGCTGTCCTGAAAACACAGAAGTTTAAACTTCCAGTTTTTCTGTCATATGATAAACAGCTCCGGGACACATGCTGGTGGATCTTGTAGTGAGACTGTGAGCTCAGTATTTAAGAGCAGTGGAA